ATTAAATGCTTGTTATTTACTTTCTTCCCAGTTCTTTGGAAAAAAAGTGAGGTGATCTCTGTAAACAGAAATTAATTCTCCTTCCTAAGTACTTTATTGATAGCCTGGGATGAATGTAGCAAAAGATAGGGTGTCCAAATAATTACAAATATATTTATTAAAATGATTTTGAGGTTTTGTTTATCTTTATTTCTTTCATTTTTAGAAAATAATTCAAAATATAAAATCTAGAAAATAACATCATATGCAGTCTTATCCTTGAAAAATAATGTGTTCATAATTAGGTTGCATGCAGAATTTTCTGATTTTTTAATGTAATATCTCGTGCTCTTAATTGTTCCATCTTGAAAATATTTGGTTCTAATTTTGAAACAATTGTCTCCCCTTTATTTGTAAGAAAACAGAGTTGAATGTTGGTTTTATTTTTGCCAATAGTAAGATGAGCTTTCTTAAAGGGTGATAGTGGTTGACTTAACTGTCCATTTGAAAAAATACTTCAGCCATTATATTTGACTAAAATAGACTTATTAAAAGCATTTTTTCTAAAGCAAAGGTTTTTTTAAAGTAGTAACATGAATATTAACAATAATTATTTTATATTCTATAGTAATTTCAAAGGTCTGATCTGTTACAGCTGTCTTAATCCCCACTTGCTTATAAAGCAGGCATTTTTAATATTTCTAAAATTGGGAAAATTGATACACGAAGAAAATAAGTGAGTGCCCAAGGCTTTAAAATCAATAAATGCCCAATGTTAAACCAGAGTTCCCTTGAAAGTTAAGCCTGAGAGTATGCATATATGCTCAGGCTAAGATAGATATTTGAGGTGTTTGAAATAACCAAACATAAAAATGCATTTCCTTAAGAGAAAGAAAGGTCAATTTGTAGAAAAATAGGGATATTATGGAAATTTAACAGAATTAAAGCAATGTGAATATGGAGAAATAGAGGAACAGCTCATGGTTTTGAGTTGGGAGTGAATGTAATTGAAATGTCAAATGAAATGATAACTTTAGTAAGAATTATTCAAGTTTAATCATAGGGTGAAAAAGATTGAGTGAAAATGCTTGATAAGAAATTATTTGAATTTTGTCCTTCACTCTATTTACTTATGTCCCTGTTCTATATCTACCAATCTAACATCAAATCTTTCCACAAATTCATTCCTTCCTTTCAATTATATGTCCTATGACTATATCACTTTCTAAAATGTACAGCTTGCTGATTCATAGTTACATAAAGTTTGTTCAATATTTTCCCTAGACCTGAGAAGCCCACTTTCTCCTTCAATGACTAAATCAAAGAAATATTTTCAATGCTCTGAATGCAAACAATTTTCTTCTGTGTAGCTCTTTAGTCAATGTCATCCCCAAATAACCCCCACCTTCTATGAATTACCATAGAATGATAACAGCTCTTTCCTAAACATTTATTATGTGCCAAGATCCTTTCAAAGCATTTTGCTTGTATTATCGCCTTTAATGCTTGGTGAAAACCTATAAGCTAGGTAAGGGTTTGATCCTCATTTTAAAGATAAGTAAACGGAGGCCAGAGATTTAAAATAAATTTCTGAAGATTGTGCACTAAGTGGCAGAGCCCACATCACTTGGCCCATAACTGTTTTTTAAAATGTTTGCCCCTTTTTATGCTCATAGACACTTAATGAACATTTCTTTCTTCCCAAAATGGTATACATTTCTGGAGGCCAAAAGCATAACTTGGATATATGTTGGTCATAATACTTAACAGAGCTGTAGAACATAGTAGGAGCTTAGTAAAACTTCAGGGAGAACAATTAGTAAGTTTTCAATATGAAGAACTCTGTTAAGGCTTATGGAGGAGTTAGAAAAAGTACAAGCCCATAGTGATGTGCAACATTCAAATCTAATTTAATTATGATATTTATATGAAGGAGAAAAAATGCATGTGACAGCTGTGATATTCATAAAACCTTTGTTAAAAATTCATTTCTTATGTCTCGATTTCTCTGTTTACACTGAATCTTTTTGTTTGTTTGTTTTCATGATTTTTTTAAATTCCGAAAAAGCTATTTTCACCCAAGTTTGTTTCATTGATATGATTTTAGTAGCTCCTATCTGAAACCATCGTCAGGAAACATGTTTTTTCTCTTTGGCTATTTCAAAAAAGAAAAATACTTAATATCAGTATGAATAACACATGTGCTCATTGCAGCATAATGTTGGTGCAATCTGTGCTTGATACAGTTATAAATAAGTCTTTGAAAGCATTTTTCTGTATTTTAAATAAAGGCTATAGAAAGCCACAAGAAGGATCTAGTCTTGTTAATATCACAAGCTGTTTCCCCACCTGCACTCAGAGCAGCTTTAGTACAGCAGCTGTCTGGGTTCGTGTTGGCACATCACTGTCTGCACAGGAACCCCATGGTTTACACAGAAAATGAATAGGCCACAGTTCCAATGGGGGTCTTTAATAATCCTTCCTCTAATGCTACCATGTGTGAGCATTGGGCTTTGAAGGGGTGTGAGGTGTGAAGTTTCAGGAGGATTATTTAAAGCCACTCAATTTCGAAAGGTAGAAAAGAGCATTACAAAAACCAGAGAGTGCCTTTGCATTCCTCCTGCATGTTGATCAAATGCAGCTTATATTGATATTAGAGCTTCATGTCCAGCATGTAATGGCAAGTGAAGGGATTGGTATAATTAGGTGATTCACTCCATTCGGCCCTCTTTAACATGGACAAACAAAACCTAGCATAGATGTTTCATTGATTTTATTTACCAAATATTAGCTGTGAAAATATTAACCTAATGAGAACAAATATCTATCCTGTAGTACCTATGGATATTAAATCCAGGGAGGAAGAAATTTATACATTGAACTTGCCTATGTGTAATTGGGTGGCCCTTGGACATTTAAAATAAAGCAATTTTTTTTTCTTTTTCTACATAGACTTCTAAAAGTATCATCCATGGCAGTTAATCAGCCATGGTTTTTTAGGCCATGTAAATAAATTTCTTGTTCAAACTGAGAACTTTATTCCAATAACTCTTACTTCTCTTAAGGCACTTTGAAGAAATCAAACTCCGTTTCGTGACTATTCTGAGCAGTTTTTGGAGACCACAGTATAACAGAGGTGGGGTGATTTAATCACTTGGAGACATACTGTGCACAACTACAGAATCAAAATACTAGGGCCTCAGCCACCTACTGCCTCACATCTAGACTTAATTTCAAAGGATCTTTAAGCATTGGGAATGCCCAGCATTGAGAAACTATCTCCAGTGTTACAGGAAAAAGCAAGTAAAGAGACTATATATTCAATCTAATATGCATTTCCTCTATAGATCAGGCAAACAGAGGCTGAATGCTATAGATCTGAGACCAAAAGATTCTCATTCAATTAAGGATGATAGACATCTAGACAGAAAAGCAGACTTGCAGACAGAGCTACAGAGGCATCTTAGAGGAGAGAGAGATTAACTTTCTCAGGAGTTAAAAGTGGAAAGGCCTGTGAGCAGGTAACATCTCAACATAGGGCTTAGATGAGCAACAGGACCTTTTCTAGGTGGCTGAAAGGGCACACTAAACAGTACTTGCAAGATATCATTGTAGGCTGAATGGGGCTTGGTGTTGCTGAACCTCAAAATAAATTGGGAAAGAATAGAAACCCTCAGAAGATGAGTCTGCAAAATAGAGGCCAGATCATAAAGAATATTTTATTTCTCCTTAAGATTCTCAGCCTAAAGAATTGCTGATATGGAATAAGCCAAAGGTTGGAATGTTTACAGGCCTGAAGAAGGGCAGTCAGTTAGAAAAATTTTGCTAGTGGGAAGTGGGATGGTGAGGGAAGTGACAGGAAGTATGTAATGGGAGGGGCAAAAGAGGAGACATTTAGGAGGTGGATTTGTGAGGGTTTATTGAAGTAATGGAGTGAGAGAAAAGTGGGTATCTGTCAGGTTTTTTATTTTTATTTTTTATTTTTATTTTTTTGGTGGGGGGGTGTGGGCGGGAGATGGAGTCTCGCTCTGTCACCCAGGCTGGAGTGCAGTGACATGATCTCGGCTCACTGCAATCTCCGTCTCCCAGATTCAAGCAATTCTCCTGCCTCAGGGTCCAGAGTCACTGGGACTACTGGCACACAATGCCACACCTGGCTAATTATTTGTATTTTAGTAGTGACGGAGTTTCACCGTGTTGCTCAGGCTGTTCTTGAACTCCTGAGCTCAGGCAATCCGCCCGCCTTGGTCTCCCCAAGTGCTAGGATTTCAGCCGTGAGCCATCGCGCCTGGCCTTTTTCAGGTCTCTGAATTGGTACAATTTTTTAAAGTCCTTTTTAAATAAGATTCACAGAATTTTAGCCCTCTTAAGTTATGACAGACAATGGTGACTTCTCTGTCCACCGCTCTGAATATTTCTAACCCCTAAAACATTCTGATTTTATGCAACAGGATATACAACCTACAGCCTGTAGGGCGGAACAGCCAATGACTGGTTCCAATAGAGCTTGACAGATATTTTGTGCCTGTCATTGCTTTATGACACAGTTTCAAGCCACAGACTAAAGATGATTGTAGCTACCACTGTCCTCCTTACGGTTAAAACAGCTCACACAGTATTTTGCCCTAATATTGTCAAGAAGCACAATTCTTTTCCCAGAAAACTGCTCTAATTGGATTCGGTGGACCTTGACTGGCTTGTCACTGCTATGTTCAAGGTGAAGGTGAAATCTTTGAGGAGCTTGTTCCTGAAAATAAGAGCTGAATATCTCTGATGAAGACCTTTTAAAAATACATATCTTTGTGCAATTATTTTCATATTACTTTTCCATGATCTGTGTTTTATTATATGTGACAAATGACCAGGAAAAAGAAAAAGGTTGTGAGATTGATTTATACTCCAAATCCTGTATATATGCAGTTATATCTTTAAACATTTATTGACATATAATTGTGAAATTTGAAAAGAAAATATTTTTATTCTGATTTGTAAAAAATTCCCTATTTAACATTTTGTAACAGGTGAGAAATTGCTGTTGATACCACACTGCTTATGAGGACTCAGGCAGGTGTCCCGAGAAATCAACCCGTTGTGAGAGGATCCATAACAACTTTGTAAGGTAAATACTTTTCTTAAGCTTTCAAAATCTGGGCAAGACACAAAGTCAATGTTTAAAATAATTATTGTTGGATTTTCTTTATAAGAAGAATAAAGTTAATTCACATTTTTCAGCCCAGTTTCTTTGATTCATATTTGGTGATAGAACTATTACCATTTATGAGATTTTGTATCACATTTTATGTAACATACACAAAATGCATATACATGTACATATATACGAATCTACACACGTTTACCACTAAATATTGAAAAGCGTTATCGAAAGTCTTTATCTGCCTAGATTACCAAGTAGAAAGTGTGACCACTTTTTGAAAAATATGAATACACTAAATCATTTAAATATCTTGATGTCCCAGAGAGTAGAACCAGGATAGTCTAAAGTGTGCAAATATTAAATTGTGTGAAGCATTTTGGTTCTAAGTTTCAGTTAAGAGAGAGGTTATTTCACAGTTGGCCTACTTCCTACAGGAAACCACAGTGATGTTTTATTAAGTAATGGTATATAGTTTGTCTCTTCATTCATTTACCTGTAAGAAATGTGGCAGGGAAAAACTTGAAACTAGGACTTAAAGAGTGACAAGTACCAGGCATGAGAAACACAGCTCCCTTAAAGAGAAAGTAAACATTCCAGGAGGCAATCCTTTTGGAAAATGAGCCAGTCAGAGCTGGTTCTGCTAAATGGAGAGGCTACAGAGTAGGCGCCCCTGACTTCTCAACTTCATATTAAAATATTCTGCCATTCACCTTTCTTGAACTCAATTCCCTAACAAGCAAGCTGACATTAAATCTTCATTCTTTAGGAATTTTAATATTTGGAAACTGTATGAAGTAGGTCATCTAAAAATGTAAAAAGCAATCCTCAAGTTATGGCACTCTGTCGCATTTTGGTTTGGATAGAATTCTATTCTGTTTAATGAGTTGTTTGATGATCTCTCTCAAACTGAGAATATTTGAATTCTGAGATACTACACAGAAATATGACTGAAAAAGCAGATGATGATCTTCAAGCAGATCAACTTTTGAAAGTGTATCAATCACTGGCATTAAATTGTTTGTCTCTTTCTGAAGAAAGAGAAGGGACTGGATTTTTATAAGGTTTATATTTAGCCTCTTGGCTAACTGTGACACACCTGAAAATAACGGCATGTTGATGACATCTTACTGTGTTGTGTCTACTGTCCGAAAAACTCGTTCAGGAATGAATTGGGATAGTGATGCACTAAAAAGGCTCAGGATGGGGTTTGGATAAGTGCTGCCCCCTTGAAAGAGTCCAGACTTTGTAAGAAAGTATTAAAATTCTGCATTGATAAGATAACTTTTGAAGCTTTAAATTGAACCTCATAAGGAATCTCTTTTAAATGATCTTCATTCCAGTTCTATGATTGGTGGGTACGAGTGAGGGAGGAGAACTTCTTTTCTTCCCTCAAACCTGAAAATTTTTCAATTTTTTTTCTTGTAATTTCTGATTAATGGCACTCTTGATTTTGATTTATATTATCCTATTATTCATTATATGGGAGAAGAAGAAGTCACTTTTTTTTCCAATTTAATTTTAAAAATTAGGGCTAGCAGTGATGAAATTTAAAATCAAATTATCTTGTCAGAGTGACAGATAAATCTCGAGAGTTTCTAATGAGATTTTCCACTGGCAGGATGCTGAATTTCTCCCTTTCCCAGACTTCTTCATTCCAGGTTTTGACAGGGAGTGACAATGAGCATCTGTGTTTTGAAATATAGTGCCATTTGAGGTATTTTGGTCCTTATTTAGAAATTTGGGGGTGGTTTGCTTCTTTGTTCTAGGTTAAAGGGGAAAAAGACAAATGTCAAATGGGTACATCTTTTACTATGGAAAGCCGTAAGTAATTACCATATACCTGAATTTAATTGAATATAGTAGATTCACCAATTTCTACCCTTGCCTTTACATGTTACTATTCTTAAAGGAATTTTTACCAGAGAGATGGTGTAAATGTGACACGATATTCTTACTATGCTGCTATTTGACTTTTCCCCCCATGTTTTCATTATCCTAAATAAAACTTGAACTCTTAAGCACTTTCACAGTATTAGGTAGAACTCTATAATTCTATATGCAGTTAACAGTTCTGTCTTATATAATCATGGAGTTAGAGATTCTGTTTCTAGTAGCTTAACAAAAAAAAAAAACTATTCTTTGCTGATCTCAATCAAACATGTAGCAAAATAATGATTCTTAAATGATATAATAGATGTGCACTTTATTCCTCTGCAAAAGAATATATCTAAGATAAGCAGTGTATTCAGTGATGCTACCCCAGTAACTGAATTGCCAATGAGTAGTTTAAAATGTCTTGTGGAAACAAAAAGAATACAGAAAAAATGATTAGTTATGACAGAATCCTCCATATTGAGATTGTCTTGGAGTACAAAGTATTGCGAAATGAGGTTGATTCTAGACTGAGCCTGCTCCCTAACTCTGACTAGACAAGGAGTTCATGAAATGTCTTAAATCTTCAGTTTCCTCACATGTGCAAGAAGAAGCAATTTTTCTTGTACTTTTGTTGTTAGCCAGCAGCTAGTCAAAAGCTACAGCTGTAATTTAGAACTTTGCTTCATTACATTTCCGTCTATGTATGTTGTTGTAATTTCTACATCAGAGGATATTAACCAATGAGTGCCCCCTGAGAAGCCTGCTTTGGTTACTTGATTATTATTTCAAAATGAGGAATGGTGAGTATGTTAGGTAGTAATTGAAGGAACAGATGATACTCAGAAAAAAAACATGGCAAGGCACCTATGTGTAGGCCCTGAAGAGCTGCACATACTGTACATTAGCTAAGAGTCTTAATAAAAGAACAGAAGGAAGGGAAAATACAAAATGAAGAATGAATTACTTAAGATTAAATAGTTTCTATTACAGAAATAGGCTGCATGTAGAGCTAATGGCAGGCATTTTCTCCAGACAGATGGAATGCTCTCATCTCCCAATAGTATTGATATGAAGTCTCTGTTAAGATTCATTTTTCCTGAAACATTTGCATATAAATATAAACATCATTACTAGGGGCTAATTGCCCTGTAGGAACTAAAATGTGGGAATTAGCATCTTTAGTTGCTTTTATTATTATTTTTTAAAGTATCTCTAACACGCATCATATTTGGTACTGCATGGCTGCAACAGATAATTACCACCATTAAGAATCTCAAACGCAAAATCAAAACCATTTGGAATGGCTTCCAGGGCAACCCAGCACAGTGAGTAGCCACCAAAATGAGTATATGAGGTTTGTGTTCATGCATATTTATAAGGGTACTTAATTCGACATTCATAGTAGGGGGCTTTTGAAAGCTTGTCAAAAGAGCAGTCCCAAAACAAGACCAAACATCAAAGGTAAGAAGATACAGTACATCTCGCTCCCACACACATACAAATATTGCTTGCAGGAGGCAATGAATAACACCAAAGGAATTATTTATTCTAACTACTCAGAAGAGACGGTAATTTCTACGAAGATGTAAACCACAAGCCTTTGCCTTTATCATTCATCTTATTGATCAGAAAGGTCAAGAGTATAAGTTATTCAAAGGATGGATCATAGGCAACAGTTCTGGATAAATGGACATGTAGATTTGTGTGATTAATGCCTCTTGCTTGTGCAGAATAGGAGGAAGAGTTTGAAGGCATGTCCTAAGGACAGAAAAAAGGAAAGTCTTTGAAAGAACACCAACATGGCCGAGACGCTGACTATAGCTGAAACACTGTCCATTTTGTGGGTGGGTCTGTGTGTTCAGTATGTAGGTGCTGCCTTGCTCAAGTGTTGTGTTCAGAGGCGATCTTGCTGACACTTATGCTTTTCAAAACCATTTCCATGACATTCAGCAAATGTTTGTTCTGGTGGAACAAATCTGTTAAATTATAGATTAGAAACAGTACAAAGAAACCTTTACAAATGTTTCAGTTTCAGTTTTGCACAAAGCAAACAGCATTATATTTAAATGCAACACTCCTTGTTAGAATAAAACATCTACATAACAGGGTACTATGCTCGATTTATAATTCTCTTCTCCACTTTGCTTTGGGGGCAGAGATGCCTGAAGTTCTGAAAGCTGCAGTATTGAGGATCACCTCTCATCAATTCCTTTCAAAAGTCCACATCTACAATCCACTTCTGCTTTCTTGCAATTTCCCTGTCTTTCCCAGTTTTCTTTCCTTAGATTCCTTCCCTACCCCCTTGACTCTCCATTGTTGCTAGGAATGGTCTAAATGCAAAATAATGACACTTTCCTATAATGGTGATCCCACATTATTTAATGGGCATTTAGTTCTATAGAATCCCCTGTCAACACCTTCACTCATTATATTGAAAAAATATTGGAGAATGGCACATAGGTTTTTTTTTTTTTAATTTTGAGAATAATGTAATGTGTTGACTTTAAGATACAACTATATTCTATATACGATCCAACTATATAGGTCAATATTTTAAATAAACGGATCCTTACAAGACCAAAATAAACCACAGGCCGTGAGGTTGGTTTTCCCTTTTTCCTTTTTTTTTTTTTTTTGTTTAAACAAATGTGCACAGTGATGTTTCAACAAGTAAGACAAGTGCCATGAATGTGAAGGCTGCAGTGTGCATTATACCACATTTAGAACCCAGGGAAGGTGAATTAGACAGAGGGTGGTAGTCATTCTCATTAAACAATCAGGTAACTTCACGACAACTTGATTTGCAGCATGAAAAGTGTCCATTTAAGTTTCTTTTTTCTTGATGATCAGAGGTCTGACAGTGTCTCCAGTCTCTTCATTGTGTTTTGTGTGAGACCCATCACAGAATGGAAACTTTCTGGACCTCCAACAGTGGCAATATTATACAGCTTTATCTCCCAAATCCTCCATATCAAACGCATGTATTATCTTGGGGTTGTCTTTCTGGATGTGAAGGTTTATCATAGCTTTATTTCGATGATCTTTAACATAAAACCTTTTGTAAGCTAGATAATCAGTTGCAGCTGTCC